TTGTTTGGACTGCAAGTGCCAGGCTTAGAACTCGTGCCTGTCAAATTAGAAGCGATGACTAATCGTGTTTATCCAAAACAAGCCAAGGCTGCACAAACTTTCAATGCTCAAGTTCCAGGTTTTATTGTCACTTATTTTTATTTAATTAGTGACACCAACCAAAGCACTTGCCGTGCTTTAAATTAGAACGAGCTTATAAACTACAGCTTTATTTTGGAAACACAAGTTCAACGAATTGAAAGTTAACTTTTGGGTTCGCCTATTCTTTATTTTTTCAAAGCTACTCTTTTTGTAGAAACATTTTGTAATGCATATTGTTTTACTTACTATATGTAAAGCGACCATTCTAGTGCTTTTTACAAAGAAGCTATGCTATGTTGTTCTACAAACCCGTTTTCGCGGTTTAGGAAAAGCTGAACAATATTATATTTTAACATATTGTTCTTATTTTTTACAAGTCTAATTTTTGAATAAAGTGTTTGTGTTGCTGTAAAGCTAGACTTTCTTTGTATAATGACAAAGAAGCTTTATTAAAATTTAGAGGGGTTTTTTGAATAGCAAAGAAAGAAATAAAGGACAAACACAAAAATTTATTTTAATTTTATTGAAGTTTGGCTGACCATACAACGCTGTTTCGAGTATTGCCAAGTACTTTTCATCAGTGGTCTTTGGAATAATCGAATTTTTATTTAATTAGTTTATAGTCCGTATATAATTTTGTTTGGACTGCAAGTGCCAGGCTTAGAACTCGTGCCTGTCAAATTAGAAGCGATGACTAATCGTGTTTATCCACAAGAAGCCAAGGCTGCACAAACTTTCAATGCTCAAGTTCCAGGTTTTATTGTCACTTATTTTTATTTAATTAGTGACAACAACCAACAATATGTTAAAATATAATATTGTTCAACTTTTCCTAACCGCGAAAGCGGATTTGTAGAATAACATAGCATAGCTTCTTTGTAAAAAGCACCAGAATGGTCGCTTTACATGTAGTAAGTAAAACAATATGCATTACAAAATGTCTCTACAAAAAGAGTAGCTTTGAAAAGAAATAAAGAAATAGGCAAAACCCAAAAGTTAAACTTTCAATTCGTTGAACTTGTGTTTCCAAAAATAAAGCTGTAGTTTATAAGCTCGTTCTAATTTAAAAAGCACGGCAAGTGCGTTGGTTGTTGTCACTAATTAAATAAAAATAAGTGACAATAAAACCTGGAACTTGAGCATTGAAAGTTTGTGCAGCCTTGGCTTCTTGTGGATAAACACGATTAGTCATCGCTTCTAATTTGACAGGCACGAGTTCTAAGCCTGGCACTTGCAGTCCAAACAAATTGTATACGGACTATAAACTAATTAAATAATATTCGATTATTCCCAAAGACCACTGATGAAGAGTACTTGGCAATACTCGAAACAGCGTTGTGTGGTCAGCCAAACTTCAATAAAATTAAAAATAAATTTTTGTGTTTGTCCTTTATTTCTTTCTTTGTTATTCGAAAACTCTCTAAATTTTAATAAAGCTTCTTTGTCACCATACAAAGAAAGCGTAGCTTTATAGCAACACTAATACTTTATTCAAATATTAGGCTTGTGAAAAGTAAAGAACAATATGTTAAAATATAATATTGTTCAACTTTTCCTAACCGCGAAAGCGGATTTGTAGAATAACATAGCATAGCTTCTTTGTAAAAAGCACCAGAATGGTCGCTTTACATATAGTAAGTAAAACAATATGCATTACAAAATGTCTCTACAAAAAGAGTAGCTTTGAAAAGAAATAAAGAAATAGGCAAAACCCAAAAGTTAAACTTTCAATTCGTTGAACTTGTGTTTCTAAAAATAAAGCTGTAGTTTATAAGCTCGTTCTAATTTAAAAAGCACGGCAAGTGCGTTGGTTGTTGTCACTAATTAAATAAAAATAAGTGACAATAAAACCTGGAACTTGAGCATTGAAAGTTTGTGCAGCCTTGGCTTCTTGTGGATAAACACGATTAGTCATCGCTTCTAATTTGACAGGCACGAGTTCTAAGCCTGGCACTTGCAGTCCAAACAAATTGTATACGGACTATAAACTAATTAAATAAAATTCGATTATTTCCAAAGACCACTGATGAAGAGTACTTGGCAATACTCGAAACAGCGTTGTATGGTCAGCCAAAATTTCAATAAAAATTAAAAATAAATTTTTGTGTTTGTCCTTTATTTCTTTCTTTGTTATTCGAAAACCCTTCTAAAAATTTAATAAAGCTTCTTTGTCCCTATACAAAGTAAGTCTAGCTTAACAGCAACACTAATACTTTATTCAATTATTTATCATTAATATTTATTATTTATAAAAACATAATAATTTATAAAATCAATAAACAGCAGCGAATAGTTAATATTACTATGTTAATAAATAGGTATTCTGAAATAAATAATACTTGACTGGTAATATGTTATCCTCTTAAGACAAATTCAAATTTTCCTTAATTTAATAAAGAAGAATTTAATAATGAAGATGTTTTGATTTGATATTTCTCGTAATTATGGGTAAAGTAAAGTACGTAGCGCAGTAGAGTCGGGCGCATTGATAGATACAAATTTTTGGTAAATTCTAAAGTTTAAAACATCCCTGAATATATTTAATTATAGTTACCATAAAGCCATAAAGTCCGGTATTCTAATGTGTTCTCTGTAAATAAATTTTCACAATAATTTAGTATATTTAGAAAGTAGTGAACTACAACAACAAAAATTCTTCTTTATATTATTTTAATTAATTGCATTTTAAGCTGACCATACAGTTCTTTCCAGTATTGCTAAATACCTACTATTAGTGGTCTTGGAAATAATTGTATTTAATTATTCGTAAATAATTTTTTGAGACTGCAAGTACCATGAATCGAACTCGTGCCCTGCCAAATTTGAAGCTCAGAGACAGCGCTCCTTAATCAACTGACGTACTTGACTTTTATGTTCGCACATTTTTCACGAGTTTTGTTAATTTGTTGGGAAAGTTTTTTTTATTAACAAATTCACTAGCTCTGTTTATATTAGAATAAAATCATGAACTAGGTGTAGAATAATTGAAATATTTAATTTTATTTTATTTTTAATTGTTAAATTTCAATACCCTTCTGTTTGTAGAGGCATTATTTGTTGCATGATTTATATATTCTTTTTTATGTATAGAACCAAATCTAGGAACATAAGAAAGTCATGGTAATGTTATTCCTACTAATTTATTTTTTAATGTTTTGTTTGTTTTTATTGTTTTGGCATCGACAATTTATATATCAAACTGATTACATTCGTTAAACAAAATTAGTTGAAAGAGTTGAACGTTATAACTCAATTAGATCAAGAAAAATGTGTAGATGATTGGGTCAAGTGGTGATATAGTTGTATTTCACTATTTGAGGCTTAATTTAGTAATCACAAAATAAATTTCAATTAACTGATTTTTTTAAATAACTTTTCATAACTGTTCATTGATATATGTTCTTCATTAGAGTAGATTTGGTTTGGTTTAAAGTTTTGAATATGGTATGTATGGTACATTCCGCATAGGGCTCGCCTATGGGTTCGTTTTGCTGCTCTGAGCCAGTTATTATAAGATATAATCCACCCTAGTTGTTTGGTGATTTATATATAAAGAAAATTTTTGTGATGCTTGAATATCTACACCCATGTAGAGCCTTTTAACCAAATAATTTTTTTTTAAAAATCCTGTGAGGGTTCCGAATCGGTTTTTTGGAATATTTCAATAAGTTTTTTTAAGAATTGTTGCGTTGTTTTTTGTGAGTACTAAACGTCTGCTCAATAGTTAAAACCTTGATAATTTTTCCTCATTTCTAGGAATTGTAGCATTGCACTT